TTACCTATTATATTTATTTATTTTCTTTTTAGGTTTATGAGATTGTACATAGTGACCTACTAGTGTACAGCCTATTATATGTTTATGCTGACAATTTTTGTGCATTTTGTGCACGGCAACCACATATCTATTTTTAATCCTACTTTTTTTTTTTAAATAAATCTCAATTAGGGTTATTGTATTGCTGCCATACAATCTCAATACTTACAAAACACAAACAGTTTCCATCTCCTGATTTAGGCTTGGAAATTTCCCAGTGTTATAAACAGTTAGACAAGTTATATGCCCAAAATAAAAAAAAAAATCTGCATTTTCTTCTTTAAATTTCCCTTGTTTGTCATCACAATAAAATGAGACTCTACTGAGTCCATTTAGCTTATAGGAAGTGCTCTGTGTAATTAAAGGTCTACCATCAGGCAAGTTGCCTGGTCCTGAGAGTTTCTTAATAGCTATTACAAAAAAATGGGGCATATGCTGGCACCACATCTTCATAAACTCTTCAAATTTACTTATCTTTCTGGAGTTCTGAGTAATTGTATACATTTAGCAACTATATTCACATTACCCAAACCAGCTAAATCACCTGATATCTGTTAATATTTCTGTCCAATAGTACTTCTCAATGCAGATGTAAACTTTCATGCCAATATAATTCTTTTTTTCCTGTTTTAGTTCAAAATGACCAAACTATATTTGTTCAAGGACATCGGGGGGTGAATAATGTTAAAATAATAACTTTGAAAATCTGTATTAACTCTTCTGTTTTTAGGTCAATATTTTCTTTTTAGTCAGATTTTTTGTTGTACTTATTTAATATTACAAACAGAACTCTGTTTGTCCTGTGTCTTTGCTACTGTATGTGGTTGCCCTACAGTATTACTGCAAGCTATAGGAGTCAGTTGAGAATAAATTATATCTAAATATTTGGGGAGTCAATGTGGGACAATCAAGCTATGTTGATTACTTTTGCAAATGGTATCCATGGGTCATCCTCTCACATTTATTACCATCTCTTATGGAAAAGAGCATTTTTTTCCATAAGAGATGGTATGGAGTTTAAGATATGGCTTAAATTGTAAATACATTTAGGAATAATAAGTTCTTAATAAAAAAAATCTTATTATTCCTTAAGCTTTTCTAAAACTGAAGCTTAATGTGTGGTCATCCTGGATCTCATGTATATTAGGCTTTGGAGCAAGGGAATGTTTAGGTGTTTTCTATTTTGAAAGATAAACATAACTTCCCAAGTCAGTCACATTATTCTTATAGTCAACTTTATTCTTTTAATTTTAATAAATAGTCTTAAATTCTTTTAATTTAAGACTATTTATTTCATATCCTGTTACCCAATTGTACTTTTTAGGAACAACTTTCTATTTCTTTGTCACAAAAAAAAGGTTGTTAGTCGATCGCGATGTGTTAAAACCCTTATTCCCATCCTTTGCCTATTTCTTTGCCCCACATAGCTGGAAAATAGTTTTGGGAATTACGATCTCTCCAACATAATGGTAATCCATGTTGAAGGTTCATAAAAGCATTACACATTCCTACGCATTTTATACAGATGATATATGGTATCTACTTTATTACATTAAATGTTTCTTACTGCATCCGATGACTGCTGGCACAGCCTACAGGATATGGGCACTATGTATCATACTTGGTGGTCTTGCACACTGATCCTCATTTTCTGGTCATCTGTGCATTATGTTGTACAGAAAGTGTCTGAAACAGATGCTACCTAATTATTTATTGCTTTCCTTTGATGAGGACCTTTCTTTGTCTCATAAAAAAAATCATTAATTTTTTTTTTTTAAACATAATACTAATGGCTGAATACTCTGTCCTGAGAACTTTGAAATCCTTATTACGCCCACCTATTCATACTGTAATACAATCTGTTGACACAAATAGCATGTACAAACACAAATGTACTTCTGCCCTTATCCCGTATTCACCTCTACCCAATCAACGCTTCTCTAAGGCATATCCTGGTACTATGATTTTCTTTTGAATATCAGTTTCTAATTCAGCCTGTCTAATGGTATAAATCGGCTTATCTTCTGATCTACCCTCTTCTTCCTCTTCCTTTTATTTTTTTCTGTACCCATCTCTCCCAAAGACTTATAGAACTTAATAAAAGTCAATTGTTAAAATAAAGTTCTCTTTAGCAAAGTTTTAAAAGAAGTAAGTCATGTTAATAAATTTGTGGCAGTCTATATAATTATTCTAGAAAAATGCACGTTTAATCTTAGAGTTTTATTATTAGTAGTAAGTAGCATGTTATTTTTAAATTAGAAGATAAGAACCTTCCTAAAATACATTTTAAAATGTATGACAATATATGAATAATAAAGACCTGTCTATTTTTTATTTAAATATTAAGTCCAGACTTCTTGGGATGTTTACTGTACTGAACAGGTTCTTAAGTTATATTGATTATGCTTGATAATCATCTCCTTGTACATAACCCTATACATCTAGATGTTGGCACCAGTCCCAGAAACATAATTATAGTTAACACACAAACTGAATTTCTTTTATTTACAATTTGCCAAAAAAATGAGAGCAAGATTTTACCTGGAAGATTGAAATTGCATCTGCCAGGAAAATGAATACATAAATAAATAACTTGTCATTAGAAAACAAGTAGAGCTTTAACCACCTTAACACCATTATTGCATTCTTTGCTGTCCCGCATTAAATGGGCTTAGATGCCTTTGTGGCAGCATAATGGTTTGCAGCCCTAAGCAGCCAAAATACTAACCTGCCCTGTAGATCCCGATCAGAGAAACTGTCTGACAACCCAGGCAGTCCCCCCACAGCAAATTCAGCCCTTCCAGGACATGTGATCATGATCACATCACGATCACATGGCCGGTATAGCAGTCCGAAGCACTGCCTGCAGGGGGACTGTCTAGGTTGTCAAGCAGTCAAGCAGTCCCCCAAACTCTGAAATATAAATGAAAAAAAATAATTTAATATGCTCAAATATATATTTAATATGCTCAAATATATATATATATATATATATATATATATATATGCAGTATCTCACAAAAGTGTGTACACCCCTAACATTTTTGTAAATATTTTATCTTTTCATATGACAACACTGAAGAAATGACACTCTGCTATAATGTAAATTAGTAAGTGTACAGCCTGTATAACAGTGTAAATTTGCTGTTCCCTCAAAATAACTCACAGCCATTAATGTCTAAGCCATTGGCCACAAAAGTGAGTACAATTCTTGTTTAATTTTTCTGGTTCTCTATTCTATGTCTGGTTTTCTTAATGCTAGGGTTCCTAGGTTCATTCCTTTATTCCGTTCCTGGAATTCCCAGTCTCCTAGATTCCTTTAAAAGTTTTTTTTTGTTTTGTTTTTTGTCACACCCATTCCTTTGCCTTTTATCTATTTATTTGTAGTGCTTTCCTGCTAGCAGTGGTCTCATTCCTCTGCCCCTTTCCTTGCAGGTAAGTACTGGTGTGTTTTCTTATCATACTTTTAGTCATGCATAACTAGGCAGTATATTTGGATTAAAAGACTCACCCCAGCTGATGTGAATGCCTGGCCGGCGTCCTGCTAGTTGCTGTACGCATGTGCACCGGTATTCAATCCGTGCTGTACAGAGTGCAGCACGCGTTTCCATGGCAACATTGTAACATTGCCGCGAATCCATGGCAACGAGCGGACACGATTTCTGGATCAGCTTGTTGTTATTCTGCCTGAACGGTGTCCGCTCGTTGCCATGGATCTGTGGCAATGTTACAATGTTGCCATGGAAACACGTGCTGTGTCATGACGCTGTACAGCACGGATTGGATACCGGTGCACATGCATACAGCAACTAGCAGGACACCGGCCAGACATTCACATCAGCTGGGGTGAGTCTTTTAATCATCTATTTCCTCATGGTATATAAGGTGGTGTGGTAGTTTACATTACATGTTCGTTTTTTTGATCCTGAAGAAAGCCCAGAGTGGGGCTGAAACGTTGATCTATTTTTTTATGTATATTCAATAAAAGTTATTTAGATTTTAATGAAGACTGAGGAGTGCAGCCATCATTGTGAATACTCTATGTGAATCAGCCAGCTGGCTTTTGCACCCGGCATCTAACAGAAAAGCATGAGTGCAAGGAATCCTTTTATATATATATATATATATATATATATATATATATATATATGACAAGTTATTTATTATGTATTCATTTTCCTGGCAGATGCAATTTCAATCTTCCAGGTAATGTTTTGTGAATATAACAGTAATCCCCATGTCCAGGTTTTATGGTGTTTTGGAAAGTTACAGGGTCAAATAAAAAGGTTTGCCCATTTCAGTTTTTACACATTGACATTTGTCAGAGTGGTTAAGTTGCCTTTGAGACAGTAAGCCCAGGAAGGAGAATGACCCCCATGATGGCATACCATTTGCATGTGTACATATACAGTGGTACCTCGGTTTACGAATTTAATGCGTTCTCTGGACGTTTCTTATTGCGAAAAGTTTGTAAACCGAAACGCAGCTTCCTATAGGAATGCATTGAAAATCAACTAATCCGTTCTGGAGGTGAGAAAAAAGTCAAAAAGAGCTGACATGGAAACCATCCCACAATGCAGAACACACAATAAAAGACATGCAAATGACAAAGCTCAGCTCCCTACCTTTCCACAGGTTGAGAAATGCACCAAAAAGTCCCAAAACAACTGCAAACAATTTCCAGAATGGCTCCAAAACTCGATGCAAAAGCTGCTCCAACACCTCCACACTTGACGCACAAGCTACCCACAGGCTCCAGCATGCAGGGGATGGTGCTATAAACCTCCCAGGTGCAATGCATCCTGGGGAAACTTGCTTTGTATTGTGAAAAAAAATTGAAAACCGAGGTATTATTTTAAATGGATTTTCATTTGTAAACAGAAAATTTTGTTAACTGAGGATAGAGATATATATATAGTATATATATATATATATATATATATATATATATATTATATATATATCTCTCTCCTCGGTTAACACAATTATATATATATATATATATATATATATATATATATATTTTGTTAACCGAGGAGAGAGATATATATATAATATATATATATTATATATATATATATATACTATATATATCGCTCTCCTCAGTTAACAAAATTTTCTGTTTACAAATGAAAATCCATTTAAAATAATGCCTCAGTTTTCAATTTTTTTTCACAAACCTTTTATTGAACCCTGTAACTTTCCAAAGCACCATAAAACCTGGATATGGGGATTACTGTTATATTCACAAAACATTATTGAGCACAAATAAGAGTGTTTTAGAGTAAACATATAATGCTGATAATATAATTGGTAAAATATTATTTTATTTTTTTTCTTGTGAAATATGCAAAAATCAAATATGAAGGATCTGTGACTATGTGGCTACTAAAAAAGAGTTCCAGGATTAATTCCAGCAACTTTATCTGCTGATAAACCATCATAGCCAGAGCCTGCTATACGTGGCTCTTGGAAGAGTGAGTGACCCATTATCTCTGAGTACTTAAATATCTGTGTATATTGTTATGCTACTAGGGTTTTTAGAATTGGAACTCAACTGCAGCTTGTAGAACTCCTTAATTACAATAGTGAAGAAACAGAGAATCTTTAAATTATCAATACTGTAGCTTTAAGCAAAGAGAGGATTGCTGGCAATTAGAGAATCAAACAAGTTTTAATGATTGTGATAAACTTAAGTTAAAAGTATATAGGTAATAATTTAATAAGAAGAAATTGCTGGTTATAGCAAACAATACTAAGTTCATCAATAAGTATTTCCTCAGAGATGTATTGAATAATATTCTTTAGGTTGATAGGAATAATCTTTAATAGAAATAGTATGTAGGTAGCAGAGAATATTTGCAAAGCAAGAAACAGTTCATAGTGGTTAAGCTTGATGGGAGTTATCCTCAATATAATTAGTGTGTATGGAGCAGAGAGGATTTGAGCAAGCAAGAAACAGTTCATTAATAACTGAGATTCCAGATAATAAATTGGAAGTTATACTTAAGATTAATGTGAGTTGTCCTCCAAGAGATCAGTATTAGAGTCCACTTGTTAACTGGTAAAGTGTCCGTTCTCCAGTAATCCTCTAGCGGATGAAGCATAATCCTTTTATCTTCAAAGGTTTAGGAAGGCTTGTGAGAGAAGCTTGTGGAGCCGGCGTCTATACCCAGAAGTAGGCCCCACAATCACCAAGCGCTTTCTCTCTGGTGCGGTCTCTCTAAGTAGTGTCAGAGAGCCACGTCAGAAGGGGGCGGGGCCGGCTCCGAATAGCGGGAATGCCAAACCCAGGAGGGGATATCACATGACATATATATACAGTATTACACTATGTGCAGTTTTATATTTTATAGATAACCAGAGACAAATTGTAAGGTCCTCATTGATATAAGTACCTCACATTGTGGGTTGGTGGTTTTAATTGTGCACCCTGTACTTTGTACTTGTTTTTGCACTTTATGTAGTGTCTTCTGAGTAATTCTAGATACTAGGGTTGCTGCATCGCTCACAATTCAATAGCGTCAATCAACCCATATCCAATTGTTTTTAACTTTGCTGTTTGTACTTTCTTAATCACTCAAGGGTGTGGGCTGCTGTGTACCTGCACTTTGAAAAATGGCTATTTTTGAAAATAGATCAAAATTACAAAGTTGTTTTTAATATGAAATTTGATGATGAGTGAATTGTGGCAACTGACATTTAATGTGGATAAGTGCAAGATAATGCATCTTGGACGTAAAAACCCAAGGGCAGAGTACAGAATATTTGATAGTCTTAACCTCAACATATGAGGAAAGGGATTTAGGGGTGATTATTTCTGATGACTTAAAGGTAGGCAGACAATGTAATAGAGCAGCAGGAAATGCTAGCAGAATGCTTGGTTGTATAGGGAGAGGTATTAGCAGTAGAAAGAGGGAAGTGCTCATGCCATTGTACAGAACACTGGTGAGACCTCACTTGGAGTATTGTACACAGTACTGGAGACCGTATCTTTAGAAGGATATTGATACCTTAGAGAGGGTTCAGAGAAGGGCTACTAAACTGGTTCATGGATTGCGGGATAAAACTTACCAGGAAAGGTTAAAGGATCTTAACATGTATAGCTTGGAAGAAAGACGAGACAGGGGGGATATGATAGAAACATTTAAATATATAAAGGGAATCAACACAGTAAAGGAGGAGACTATATTTAAAAGAAGAAAAACTACCACAACAAGAGGACATAATCTTAAATTAGAGGGACAAAGGTTTAAAAATAATATCAGGAAGTATTACTTTACTGAGAGGGTAGTGGATGCATGGAATAGACTTCCAGCTGAAGTGGTAGAGGTTAACACAGTAAAGGAGTTTAAGCATGCATGGGATAGGCATAAGGCTATCCTAACTATAAGATAAGGCCAGGGACTAATGAAAGTATTTAGAAAATTTGGCAGACTAGATGGGCCGAATGGTTCTTATCTGCCGTCACATTCTATGTTTCTATGAGGTTTTTGAACACACTGAACAATGTTATGAGTGCTAACTTGAAATGTGCACTTTATTAGAGAAATTACTTACTAAGGAACTAAAAATTAGGTGGGAAATCTTCACATGGAGAAATATCTTAGGGAAGAAATTACTCCCATGGCCTATGGTTTGCAAAATATCCCGCATTTGATCGTGAAGATATGCACTTTATGAAAATATGGGAAGGGCTCTTGAGTCCTATACGATTAAAATGATGAAAATTACCATATAACAAAGAGTAAAAAACTTGGAAGATATTGAGAAAATGATCACTGAAATCCAAAGCAAACTAGAGCCATTTATTAGATCAGAGGATTTTGGAACCCTAACTGGACAAATTACGAATAGACTAAATCGAGGTAGTTATCATTAATCAAAAAAAAAAGAGAAAAATATGAAAGGCACATCAATTATTATGCCACAGGGAATGTTAGGAAAAAAACAAACATTTAAGAATAATTTTAAAACCAAACACGAACTTGGTTATACTAAAAGGAGATTTGACCAAAAACCACATCTAATGTATATTACTGAGGGAAAAAGCTTGCAACTTCCACAGCACAGGCAGTGGCACAGAAACACACTGCATTCTGAAACTATGAATGAAAGTGAGTGTTATTGACTTGGTAGTTACAGCTTGGCAAGAAGAACATTTTATTTAATTTTTTGTTCCTTTTTCCTTCATATGATCATATCTATATGACTGTTCCCTTCCAACCTGTTGAATACTAGCGCTTCCCTTACCACCTGTTGGTATTAGTAGTGGAAGAAGATGTACAGCTGATGGTAGGTGAGGACTGCTGTTTAGAATCATACACAGTGCCAGTGGACCTGCTGTTTTTCCTACTACTTTCTTGTTCGGGTTCGAGTGCGGTGTTTGGCGATTTAATGATGAATTTTGAAAAGCTGCAGGGAAGCCAATCAACAAGCGTTTGACTTGTGTGCCCTTAGAAGCCATCACAGCCATGCCTACTAATGACATGGCTGTGATCGGCCAGTGCAGCATGTGACCCAGCCTCTATATAAGCTGGTTACTAAGAATGAGTCAAATTACACACTGTTTAATAGACATGCCCCTACTTGCTATAGTAGGGGCATGTCTATTAAACAGTGTGTAATTTGACTCATAACACTCTGATTGGTTAATTAATCCACCAATCAGAGTGTTATGAGTCAAATTACACAGCGTGGGAAAATTCCAAAGAACTTTCCCACGCTGTGTAAAATGACATAAAGCACTCTGATTGGTTAGCTTGAAATTCAGCCAATCAGAGTGCTCTGTGTCATTTTGCATAGCATGGGAAAGTTCTTTGGAATTTTCCCACGCTGTGTAATTTGACTCATAACTCTCTGATTGGTTACTTTCAATCCACCAATCAGAATGTTGTTATGAGTCAAATTACACAGCGTGGTAAAATTCCAAAGAACTTTCCCACGCTGTGTAAAATGACACAGAGCACTCTGATTGGTGGATTTCAAGCCAACCAATCAGAGTGCTGTGACAGGTAAATGTAGAGACCTATCAGTCTCTTCATTTACCTGTCAGAGCACTCTGATTGGATGGCTGAAAGGAACACTATAGTCACCTAAATGACTTTAGCTAAATAAAGCAGTTTTAGTGTATAGATCATTCCCCTGCAATTTCACGGCTCAATTCACTGTCATTTAGGAGTTAAATCACGTTGTTTCTGTTTATGCAGCCCTAGCCACACCTCCCCTGGCTATGATTGACAGAGCCTGCATGAAAAAAAAAAAAAAGGTTTCACTTTCAAACAGATGTTTTGGGGGAAGGGGGTGACGGGGGGTTACATTTTTATTTAGGTCCCCCCCCTTATTCTAAATTTAGGGCCTCCACCCACTGCTCAGGGGTGGGGGCCGGGGGGAGGACAGTTGGTCCCCCCCCAATGTTATGTAGGGCCCCCAACTGCCACGCAGGGGTGGAGGCCGGGGGGAGGACAGTAGGTCCCCCCTCTCATAACAATAGTTGTGTCCCCCCTTATTCTAAATTTAGGGCCTCCACCCACCGCTCAGGGGTGGGGGCCGGGGGGAGGACAGTTGGTCCCCCCCCAATGTTATGTATGGCCCCCAACTGCCACGCAGAGGTGGAGGCCGGGGGGAGGACGTAGGTGTCCCCCCTCATAACAATAGTTGTGTCCCCCCCCCCTTATTTTACTTTAGGGCCCCTACCCGCCATTCAGGGGTGGGGGCCAATAGTTTTTGTTTTTTTTTACAGTGAGCAGCCAGTGTTTACTAGACACGCCCCTACTCGCTATACCGCTGAATTTACTAATATTAAGTAATCTTTACTTAGTATTAGTAAATGTGGCTGAAAGACCAATTTTCAGCCTTTTGGTAGATAGCTCCCTAATACTGTGTGAATTGGGGAGTTATCTACTAAGTGGCTGCTTATTTTATGTTATTTTAAGTGATTTGTTTGCAGGGCACTTGTCCTACTCTTAACCCCCATTTTACTTCATTTTGAAGCCCAATAGCCCTTTCCAGGACATTTTTAGAGGCATTTTAGTGCCCAGAAGTTC